CCTTCCTTGCTATAGCCAGACATTCCTGTCCTTGCTCCCCTGGCTGTGGTGCCTGGTCCTTGTGCCAATGTGAACAAACCCTCCTGGTCCTGCTCTTCAGTTGCCTGTGGCGCTGGAAGTTGAACTCACAGGATATTCCTCTACCCATCTCTTCCCCTTGCCAGTCTGGAAGAGTTTCAGGGTCACATGTCGTGTCCAGAGGCGAGAAGCACTAATGGCAGAGACTTCAGTATGGCAGGGACCTCCTTTTCTGGGGCTGTCTTTGTGTGTGTGTGTGTGTGTGTGTGTGTGTGTGTGTGTGTGTGTGTGTGTGTGAGTTGTTGCTAGTGGCCCCTCACCTGCAACACCATCCCATACCAGGGTTGGATATGGCATGCAGCACATCATAGCTCATTCCTGTAACTCTACCAGCCTTTTCCAGCGCCCTCCCTTCTTTGATACCCTGGGAGAAGCCGAGCACAGCTTCCATCCTTGAAGAAAGGAGCTTTCTTCTATGCTGTTCTTCCTGTCTAGGACCTTCTTTCCCACCTACTCAACTGATGTTTGTTCCTTCAGGCCACCTCCTCCAGGAAGCCACCCTGGACCCTCTTCCCCAAGGTTCCAGCTCAGTGTCAGTCAGGAGAGCGTGGGATTTAAGAGGCTGGGTGCTAAAGCCCGCTTAGCTACAACCAAGCTGGAGATGGCCTCTCAAGCCAGTTGGTAAAGTGTTTGCCTAGCACGTATGAAACCCTGAGCTTGATCCCCAGTGCTCCCTATAATCCCAGACCGTAGAGGCAGGAATATCAGAAGTTCAAGGTCATCTTTGAGGACATGTTGAATTTGAGGCCAGTGTGGGCTACATGCGACCCTGGCTCCAACAAAAGCAAGTGACCGTGAAACAAATGAAGCAATAGGGTCTCCTCAGCTCCCCGCACCCTTTCTGGTTTTGCTTTCAAGGCAGGGTCTCCCTATGTAGCTCTGGCTGTTCTGGAATTCATACTGTAGACCAGACCGGCTTCAAGCTCTTAGAGATCTGACTGCCCGTGCCTGCCAGTGCTGGGACTTAAGGCGGGTACCAGTATAGTGGGCCCTCCTTCCCTCCTCTGCCTCATTCGCTCTCTTCTTCCTCTTCCTTGTTTTTAAGGAGATAAGGTCTCACTATCTTGCCCAGCTAGCCCAAATTCCTAGGCTCAAGCAATCTCCTGCCTCCTCCTAGGTGCAGGTCACCACGCCCAACTTACCTCATCCATGAAATGGGAGTAATAATTGTAGAATCTGCTGTGTAAGGCTGCTGTGAAGAGCCCATCAGCTTGCAGGACGCTTCAGGCCCTGTGTGTATCTCTGTGTCGGGCAGCTCTCTGGCCCTCTAGGCAGGAGCCACCTCTGCCAGCACAGCTCACCAGCGTCTCCACAAAGACGATTACTTCTAGTCACTTAATGAATGGATGGCCACAGTCCAGGAGTTTATTGCCCTGAGGCAAATGGTTTATCTGAACTGACCCTGGACTCTATTGGAGGCGGTGGCTGGGGTGGGGTGTATGTGTGGGTGTGTGTTTGTGTGTGTGATGAATTCCCTGGGCTTGTGGATGAAGCATGTCTGAAAGCAGCCATGGTTCAGGCAGCAGCCTCCCTGGCATGGCCTGTACCTCATCCATATGTAGTTGTAGCTCCTGCCTGCTCCCCAACTCACTTTCCTCTACACACGTGGCCCAGGGAAACTGGGGTCATCCCCATTTATTGCTTCTCTCTGTCTAGGATTCCAGCTGACAGGGCATGATTTTGCTTCAAAAAGTCTTGGAAAATGAGTTAGTGATAAATGAGTTAGTGGATAAAGGTGACGGCTGCAAAGCTCAGGACACCTGGGTTTGATCCTGGGACCCACATGGTGGAAGAAGGGAATTGACTCTCTCAGTTGTATTTGACACCCCCCCCCACACACATATACTTGCTATGGCTTGCACGTGACCTTTCTTCCAAACAATTATAAAAAGAAATTAAAACTTGGAAAACATTTATTCAGTGTTTATTGAAAAGACAGAAAAAGGGGGGATATTTTTGTTCCTCAAATTCTAACGTGGGTCTTCCCAGGTCTACATTTGGCTCACAGCTTTTCTGTTCTTCCCAAACTGCAGCCCCCCCCCCCCCCCCGCTGGGTCTCTGCTACCTGGAGGCTGTGGGAAGACTCTGGGCTTTGCCCTCTGCTGCTCCCTTACAGAGACAAGGGACAGGACAGGGGCTCCTGAGGAAAGGGCACACGCCAGATCTCTCTCTATGACTAAGGAACTAAGAGAACGGGTGTCATCTCTGCCAGAATTTGCCATTTTGTCACTCTCTAGACTTTGACCAGGTCCCAGGCCTGAGATGAAAGCAGTGAGCACCCTCCTGGGTGGCTTCCACACTCCTCGCCAGGACATTCATGTCTCTTTCCAGGGTGGTCCTGGGGACGTCAACCCTGGCCACTGGGCTTCTGAGGGGGCAGGACCAGTCTGAATGGAAGGTTGTCCTGCCAGGAATGTAGCTTCTCAGGCCGGCTCAGCTGGAGGGTGACAGGGCGCTCTAGCCTGGAATGCTGGGTAGCAAGTGTCAGGGCTGACCCCATGGCCTCATGTAAGGGGTCTCAGCACTCCAGGGTCAGGGTGTGACTTCACTTCCCTGCCACCTCTCCACTCCTTCTCTCTCGGCCCTGACTAGCCCTCTGAACGACATTGTTCTGAAGCTGCCTCTGACAATTTTCCTTGCCATTCACAGACTGTTGGTGGCTCCCTGGGGGCCACAGGGAAAAGGCTTCTGACTTCACCCTTCGGGACCCTTGTGGCTGCATCTCCAGCTGTTTCCCCTGGCCTGCTTCAGTCATAGCAGTCATAAAGCTTCTCTGAGGACCCCTCTGCCACCCCACACTCACCTTGCCGCCTTGTTCCCCCACCCTTCTGTTCCAGTTCCTTTCTAAAAAAATATTTTATGTTTTTAATTCTTAATTATTATTTGTTCTGTGTGTAAGGATACACACACACACACACACACATAATCTGCTATAGTGCACGTGTAGAGGTGAGCAGACAACGTTTTGGGGATCAGTTCCCTCCTTCCACCTCATGGGTCCCAGGAATCAAATCAGGTAATGAGTCTGGCAGCAGGTGCTGTTACTCACTGAGCCATCCCACTGGCCTCTTGCTTGTCTTTGAGGGCTACAGAAGGAGCATCACTTTCATGTGGGATCCTTTCTCCTACCCCCACCTCTACTCCAGCCAGTCCCAAGTCCCTTGGTTCTGTACCCATCCAACATCCACCATGAAGCCTGACAAGCCCACTCTGCTTCCCAGGTCCTGGGGTCAGAGCTTACTACTTTGGGATCTGACTGTCCTGGGAGTGAGAATTACCACTTTGCATTCTCTAGAGGAGGCAACAGAGGCCAGCAGGAGAAAGTTCAACGTCAAATTGGAGTATAGATCCACGAGTTCAGCTAACACATTTTATTACATTCATAGATACATATATACTATATATACACTATAGATTCTGGATCCCAATCCTGATGTTTTTATTTACTTGCTGTGCCCCCTGAGGGACGTTTCTTCTCTTCTCTGTGCGTCACTTTCCTCATCTGGAAAGCATGAGCTATGGAAGTCTGCATCCCAGTGGTGTTGTGGAGACAAAATGGGTTAATCCCAACAAAGTATGAAGCATGACATTATACAGTGGGAGCTCAAAACATACCAGTGTGTTGTTCTCCCAGAAGGAAATTGGGGTTGGCTTTGTGAAGAAGGCAGGGTTATAGCAGGCATGTAAATGATTATTGCCTGCTCCATAAATATTTCCTGACAGCTGGCTCAGGTCACAGCCTGCCACTCCCAGTGTGAGCCAGCCATTCCCAGCCATGGGAATAGGACCCAGCTTGCTTGTGGGAGTTTCAGCCAGCCAAATGTCCAGGCAGCTGCCAGCAGGAATATTCCAGACCAGAGGCTGTCCCTGGGCCCAGAGAGGGTACTGCTTGGCTCCAGCCATGAGCTCCATCAGTCAGAAAAGTGTCAAATTTTATTCCTGAACCTTCTGAGGCCCAGAACGAGAGTCAGGGCTGGCTCCGGCTACAGTTAGATTTCAGTGCCCATTGCTGCCACCAGGTTGCACACAGACATGTATCCACCTGGTTTCACTTGTCACAGGACAGATATCCTATGGTCTCCCAGTCAGGCCCTGGCTGGACAAGATTCCTGGAGCTGAAGATGGTCTCTGCACCCTCATGGATCCAGCTTCTACCAAATATGTACTTGAAGAGGGCCTGACCATGTATTCTTGTCTGCTGTGACTATATCACCCAGAATCCAGATGTCACAGCAGCAGATGGCTGTCTAAGTCACGGCAGGCAAAAGCCTAGACAGGGTACATTAGCTGGAGAAACCCAGCAAGGGACGGGGGAAGCTGGGTCCCAGCTGCCCACATTGTTGGACTTTCCTCTTCTTTTTGTGTCCTTTTAACTCCTGAATGATCCTTCCTAGGAGGAACCTCTCACCTATGCTTGGCGAAGACAAAATTCCTGGAAGACCATTTCATCCTTTATTACAAACATGAGTTCATAAGTAAACAACTGAGGCTCTAAAAAAAATACATTAAAATAAATAATAAGGATTTCAAAGTTCTTAGAGCAAATAACTTATATACAGATGAATTAAGGAGAGCAGGCCCTGCCCCTCCTCCCCCCAAAAGTGTCCCAAGAGAACAAGGCCTCCAGGGTGGAGGGACCACAGAGGACTATGGGGGCCAGCCAGGATGTCAGTCATCAGGATGCCCCATCCTCTCCAGGTATGGCTTAGGTAATTGTGTCCCGCTGTGGGGTTGCTCCTGAATCACAGTCCAGCAAGCAGGACACTCCTCAGAACACAGTCAGCATGGTCATTTGGCCTCACATATCTCCTTCAAGCAGGACTGTAGCCATCAGCCAGCACTGGGAGGCTGCACTGCCGCTCAGGTGCCCAGGGTGGCCTTGGCGGTGTAAGGGCGCCGCAGAGCTGCTGTGAAAGAGGCCAGAGCTTGTGCTGGACCCATCTGATGGGTCTGGCTAGCTGGGGCTGAGGTCTTGGCCCAGAAGCCAGGTACAGGGTCTCCCACTGGCTGCCCATTTCCTCCTGTCTCCATGTGAGCTTCCTTCTTAATGGTCCCATGGCTCACAGGGTTATCTCTTCCTCCGTCTAGAGTGTGCAGGACTGGACTCTCTTGTCACCTCTGGCTGTAGCCTGGGAAAGCGGAGCTTGGTGGCAGAAATGTCCCTGGAAATGACGAAGGATAAGTTAGTATCTCAGGAGATACAGGGCAGTCAGGGCTCCCTTAGAAAATAAGTAGCTGAGCCTAGAACTTCTACCTAGGTCTCGGGTAACAGCTGTCCTGGGTCAGGGTGTGGCCACAGCCCCAAGCAAGGTCTGGACCCAGGCCCAGGAGCTTCTCTGCTCATGGGGACACTGACAGTGCTTACGCTCAGCATCAGATGAAACCAGGATGAGGGATCTGCTAAAGAGCCTGAGCACTGCCCATGGTGTGCTTTCCTTTTCCCATACCATGTGAATGTCCTTCCTTCCTCGTGTCCATCTTCCTCTATCCTGCCATCTTACTCTGTCAGAAGCTTATTGTCTACAGCAAGGTGGGCTTGTCCACATAGCTGGTCCTTGCGACCCTTTGAACTTGGCTGAGGTCATGGCCACAGCTCTGGGAACTTTCTATTGTCTACTTTCAGACCCTAAGAATTCTGTCTGGGAATGAGGAGGCGCATCTCAGGGCTAGGCTGTGGGCACCTAGGCATGGCTTACCCTCTTTGAGGCCCTTCCTCTGCTTTTAAGACACCAACTAGACTCAGTACTTGAGAACCTGTGATAGTAAGATAGTCCTGAGCTCAAGGCCAGCCTGGGCTACATACTGAATGAGAGCCTGTCTCAAAACCAAACTACACCAAACCAAAACAATAACAAAAACAACAGTAACAACAAAAAACCCCAACTTGTCACCAGGATGAATGCTTGGGGAGTAAAGCAAGCTCTTTGCATACTGTGACACGAACTGTGCTATCAACAGACTGTGAAGAGCTATTCATTTGCAAAGCCTTCCTTAGTCTCATCTACTTCTTGAGTATATGCAGGGGCCTGCCTTGCCTACCATCTCTGCTCTGTTTTTTTCTGCTTTTCCCAAAGATGGTAACTTCCAAGGAGCCATAGCAGGTACTGTCCAGCTCCAAGGACCCCTTCACAGCAGAGGCAAGCATGGTCAAGGCCTTCAGAGTTCCACAGGGACATGCTTTGTCTGTATTAGCACATTTAACCTGAACCTGCAGGATGGAGATGCAACTCCCTGCTTCAATATCTGCAGCACAGAGAAGTCCAACCACAAGCTCATGAAGTCTGTCTGTGGCTGATGTGGGCTTCTCAGTTAGCAGTCTCTGTGCCCCCAGCAGCCCCTGGGTCCCTTTGCTCAATGGCCCAAGGTGAGGTTTCTGTCTTCAAGCCAGGTTGCTAGGACAAACATTTGTGGGCCTTGTGCTGAGCCACCTGTGGCCACTAAGTTGGGAGATCCCTTAGAGAGTATCAAAGGAGCAAACAACACAGTGAGTCATTCACTTCAAGCCCCAGTATAGGGAAGATGCTCGAATGAATGAATAACTGTGGTTCTTCCCAGCCAAAGCCCTCAAGGCCTGATCCATAACCTGATGGCCACAGAATGTAGTAGTTAAGAAAACAGGCTTGGGACTGGAGAGATGGCTCAGCATTAAGGGCACTTTCTGCTCTTACAGAGACCCAGGGTTCTGTTCCCAGAACCCACATGGCAGCTGACATCAATCCATAATTCCAGTTCCAGAGGATCCAATGACCTCTTCTTAGACCACATAGGTTACATACAGACGATGCCCTCTTCTAGCCTCCAAGGGCACCATGCATGCATGTGATGTACATACATACATTCAGGCAAAACACTCATGCATGTAGAATAAATCTATTTTTTAAAAGAGCGTAGGCTCTTGATGTAGCCAGATGTGGTGGATGCTCTGTGAGTCTAAACAAGTGGTGTCGCCCCTCTGAACCTCAGTTACCTAGGATAGACAATGAAGACCCTATCCTGCCTCACACAGAGAGTAAAGCAAGCATGTAAAGCATTCAGAAAATGATCAACCATGCAATCACCCTCACCTTAGCTTTCGGAGGAGGTCTCCCTCAGTGGCCCACTTCCTGGCAGTCTTTAACACGGCCCCGTGAGCTTGGCTGCTTGGGGTGACCACAGTTTCAGGCCTGAATGAATAGAGTGACAACAAGTGAGGGGCTGGCCAGAACCCTGAAGTTACCTGGCTGCAGGCCCAGCCCAGCCCCCACCCCTGCCCTCTGGAGCAGATCCATTTCCACACTGCGCACCTGGCACCCTTCCCTCTCGGGCGGGGTGGGTACCAAGGAAAACTGAGCTACTGGGAATGTGTTTTCAGCCCCAGAAAGAGGCAGATGGGTGGCTGGCCTTCCCAGAATCTGGCCACCTGCAGTTGCAGGGGAAACTGAGGCAGGGGTGGAGCCCAAGCTTGAGCCCCAGAGGAGGAGTTTCTGGTAAACTGTCATGGGAACCGGAACACTCAGTCCTTGCTTTCTCAGTGGTTCAAGAAGGGGAGGGGAGGAACGCAGCCTTCCCCTTCACAGATGGAAAAACCAAGGAGACTTGGCATCTGTGCCCCAGTTCCTTGACATAATGAGAACTCTGGTACCTGTCATAGATTGCCAGCTACAGATGTTATTTGTCTTCTAAACAAACTTATGAAGTACCGGAGCCTCAGGTTAGAGCCTGAAGCCCAGTCGGACCTGCTTTCTTGTGGCCATGACACAAGGCTTGCCCCTCTCTGAGTCTGGGCTATCCGTAACCTGGCTGTGCCACTCCTGCCCAGGAGTGGGGATCTGTGCTTCCAGAATTCTTGGAGCTGAGCAGAGGAAGGAAATCAGGGTATTTCTGTGGGAAGGGACTCTGCCATGCACCCAGCGTACTTATGGGCTCTAGGACATTGCCCTCTCCTCTGGGCCTCTGGACCTCTGGGCCTCTACTAGTCTACCAGATACCCTGCTTCCAGGCCTGGTCTCAGCTAGCAAGTCACCCAACCCCTGTAGGCTAGGAGTCCACCTACCACGGTCTTTGATGGCAGAAGGTGACACAGGCAGAGTCCCCAGCAGTAGAGCACTCACAGCGCCTTGGCAGGGAGCGGCGCCGGCGCCTTGGCGGGTTTCCCAGGCCGTAGGGAGCTGTCTGTCTGTGGGCGGGAAGCCAGCAAGGTAGTGTGTACATGGGGTGGGGGGAAGCAGAGAGGAGAAAAGAGAGGAGAGACACAGGATTAGATAAACACATCACTGGGCAACAGAGAGGTCTACACTGAACACAGGTACAGCCAGTTACACCTCCAGGATGGCCAAGAAAGGTGACCACCCCACTCTTTCTCCTAGTAGGTTAGCCACTAACTTCTCTACCAATGTTTCTGCACACTGCTCTGCTAGGAGGTCCTGCAGGGGAATGTAAGGAGTGGAGTCTGTAGTTCTTAGGTAGTCTGGGCTGGTCCTCTGTACTAAAAGGGGGCCCCCTCTAGGCCACGAGGAAGGCAGGCAGGCCAGTTCAACTGCCAGAGTGAAGCACTCAGCATGCAGCAGCCAAGCTGCCTCTAGTTGGTCCCCATTTGTTGGCGTGTGTGTGTGTGTGTGTGTGTGTGTGTGTGTGTGTGTGTGTGTGTGAGAGAGAGAGAGAGAGAGAGAGAGAGAGAAATGTGCCTTTGAGTTTGTGTGTGAGTGTGTGTACATGTGTAATTGGATTGATTTCTGATCCAGTTTGGCCAAGAGAGGCAGAGTAGGGGCCCTGAGGCTAGACCATTCAACACTTTTGGTCAATAGCTGCTTTTAGGTGGCCTGGCGGTTGGAGCTGTAGTGATTCAGGGTGGACCCGGCACGCAGAGACTGGCAAGGTTCCCGCCCTGAGCCAGCATTTGGATGTGGATTACCTCTACGCATGTTTATATGCTCAGCTTCTCTTGCCTTATGCAATTTAGAGAAGGAAAAAAAAATACATACACAAAAACTTCAACCTGAGGTATGCAGGGGCCTGGAGGCAGCATGGGACAGGCAGAACCGGGCTCAGCTCTGGCTTCTGCCAGGCCAGGATATCCCAGGCAGACTTCTTGTCTGTCCTATCGGGGGCTGCAGCAGTGCCTGCCTCTTGGGAAGGCTGGAGGCTCAGCAAATGGTACTGTACTTGTACAGAAAATGGCCAAGGCATGGCTGCTGTCACACATAGACTGATTCTCTGCCGGGAAAGTATGGATGAGCTCCAGCAGCCTTACACTTGGAAAGGAGTCCACCAGGCATTCTTCCTGTATGATCCTGAGGAGCTTGCCTCACCTCTCTGAGCCTCAGTTATCTTGATCTGGGAAATGGAGCTAGCACTTTCCTACAGGCTAGTGTGAAGATTCCAAGGGTACACAGCTCCCTGCCTAACTCTGGTGGTCCCCATGCTAGTAACTGTGGGTAGGTTCACTCCCAGTGTCCTATCTGAGCTCCATGGTGAGCCAGGCAGTTGCAGAGGTTGCCAGAGGCCTTCACCCCCACCTTCTCCCACAGTCCTGGTGGATGCTCACCCTGCAGTGTTCACCCAGATGATGTCCAGGTGGCAGAAGTACACACACTCCTTGTCAAGCCAGGAGTTGCAGGAGCAACGGCGAAAACGCAGGTGGGGGCCGCGGCCCTTGGGTGCCGGGGCTGGCTGCTCCAGAGTGGCAGCTGCCTGGCCCTTCCCTGCACACAGGAGGGAGAGAGAGGTGGAGAGGAGGTCAGGGCACCTGGCCTGCCTGGGATAGGGGACCCGCAGGGCTCCTCCTCTTGCATAATAAGGAAGTTGGCACTCTTGATGCTTAAGAACCACTGGCTAGCCTGGGGAAGTCCCAGCCACCACCGCTGTGCCTGCACTCTGCAGAAGCAGCTCTTACTGGGGGTTCCCTGCTCTATGCCCCCAGGTGGCTTTGGGAAGCACCGTGCCCCTGGAGGAGATAGCAATGGATAGACCCGGGGCAGAAACAAATGAGAGAGGGTAGCTCACCTTCATGTAGGGCCAAAAGCAGGGCCAGAGCGATGGAGCACCAGGCGGCGGGTGTGGAGACCATAGCAGCAGCAGAGTGCTTGGCTGGACCAGGGGAACAGGGAGCGCCTGTGGCCAGCGTCCTGCTGCTAAGCCGAGCTGGGAGCTCATTGCTGAAGTGCCCTGACCGTCTCTTATAATACCAGGCAGGGTGTCCCGCCCCTGCTGGTGCAGCCCCGCCTTGCCTAGCTGCTGCACCTTGGGCAGGAAGCCAGGGACACCGCCTCCTCCGTGGGTGCCTGGCCCGCCCTGGCCTCCTGGTGAGGGGGAGGGAGGTGGAAGGCTGGGCTCCACCCGCTGCGCTGCGCTAGAGCACCTTCTGGAGTCTCCAGGCTCCCTGCAGGCTCAGGGGCCCCTCGGAGTGCTCCCAACCCCCCTCCCTACTTTCCCCGTGGCTCTCCAGAACTGGAAGTTTGGAGTGGAGATCTCAAAGCAAAGCCTTCCCTCTTTGCAGGGATTCTGCCACCCTCCTCCCTGCCCATTGTGAAGCAAGCTGAGATATCCCTTCACTGTGTGGGAGGTGAAAGGCCCACTGGAGGCTTCGTGGCCTTGGGCGAGTCAGAACCCCCTTTGGACCACGGGCCTCAGGAAGGGTACAACTCATGCCTGACCTTTGACAGCTTGGGGCTGCCTCATCCTCATCTTGCCCAAGAAATATTGTCACCCCCCATACACCCCCCCCCAACAACCTGTAGTAGGAGTTCTGGTCCTTTCAGAAACCACTTAGTTGTGCAAGCATGGCCAGGGAAAAGCCTCCTGGGACTAAGTTTCTTTGCTTGCAAACAAAACAAAAACAGGGGACTCCTTACAGTGTTTGGTTCAAATCCGCCCCCGAGATAGAGCAAGGACATCAGAGTCCTTTCTAGGAAGATACTCCATGGGCACACAGAAGGTGTCCTGAGTGGCTTTCCACTGTGGACACAACAGAACATCCTGTCTTACCTCTGTGGCTACTCTATGCAAAAAATGGAGAGGCAAAGGAGGCTGGTGAGGTGGTTCTGTGGGTAAAAGTGTTTGTCACACGAGCCTGATTATCTGAGTTTGAGCCCTGGAAGCCAATGGAGGTGTGCATCTATGATTCCAACATTCCTATGGTGAGGGGAGAGGTGTAGACAGGAGAGCTGCCTATAAACTTATGGGCCAGCTCCCCTGGAGTATATACCTCATGGCAGGGACAAGAGAGACCTTGCCTCAGTCAGGCAGGAGACAACTGCCAATTGTCACCTGACTTCCACACATGTGTTATAGCATGTATGCACCCACACTCACTCAGGCACATCACACACACATACACACCAATATGCACACACAGTAAAAATAAATAAATGGACAAGGAGGAAGAGGAGAAAGAGAAGGCAAGGCAGGAGGAGTGGCTCTCTAGGGCCTGGCTTTCTGCTTCAGGTCCCTAGGCTGACTCAGAAGTCTTGTTAGAGGTAAGGGCACACTGTGGGGAAGGGAAGGGACAGAATGAACGACTCAGAGCATTGGCAGCCCCTGTGTGCCTGTCCCATCCTGACAGAGTCCACTCAAGTAGATCCTTTCAGGGAGCCTGGCTGCAGGTACATGGGAAAGGCCTTCAAGTTCCTGGAATTCTAGGTCTGTCTGACTCAGGGTAGTAAGTAGACTTATCTTACATTCTCGAGGTCTGGAACCCTACAGAGGGCATGGCCTCTGGCTTTCCCTATACATAGGGCATATCACAGGAGCCCTGCGAATGCACTCTGAGGGAGACAGAGAGAGAGAGTGACTTAGGACTCACCTGGCTCTGGACTGTGGTCCCCATTCAGCAGTTCTTCAGGTCCATGCAGAGTTCTTAGTTCCTCTGTTAAAAAATGGATAAAGAGGGAACAGGGGATGGAAAGGCCATAGTGCCTCTTCCCAGGGTGACCAGAAGGAGAGAGGGTGGGAGGGAAGGAGGGAGGGAGGGAGGACGAGAGAGACAGAAGGCGGAGAGCCTGGTTGAAGTCTGGCATGGCAGAACACAGGAAGAATGAGGCGAAGGCAGTGAGTAAGAGCCGACCCAGAACCCAGAAGAAGCAAGAACCTTCTTTAACCTATGATGTGGTCAGGCATTTGCCACTTCTCGTGGCCACCCTAGGATGCATCTGCTCTCTCCTGCTGTCAGTTCCGAGAATACCCACAAGGAGGCTCAGAGAGCAGGGGTGTGTGTGTGTGTGTGTGTGTGTGTGTGTGTGTGTGTGTGTGTGTGTGAGAGAGAGAGAGAGAGAGAGAGAGAGAGAGAGAGAGAGAGAGAGAGAGAAGGTTTGCATCAGCCATATAGCTGGCGTATGATAGAAACGCCTTTGGAACCCCAATCACCAGTAAACCACAATGAACTAGACTCGCAGGTGAGGCTCACTGCCCTCCCCTATGCTGCAGCTCTGTAAGAATTTAGAAGACTAGTTCTGGAAAGACGTGAGTAGTTCTACTAGGCTCTGAGAGACTGTGGCTGGGGCCTTGTGTGGGGGCATAGAGGGTGGGGAGCCAGAAGAAAGAAGACAGAGCAGGTCAGTGGAGAAGGAGTAGGGTCAGGGTGGGGAGGAAAACAAACAGGCAGATAAAGGCGGGTATAGGAGTAGAGCTTGGGAGAGCCAGGAAGCCGGGAGAAAGACAGAGCTGGGATTTGAGGAAGTAAAAGAGAAAGATGGGGGGGGGGGTGGAGGGGGGAGCAAGAGGCAGGGTTCTAACCTGTCTAATCTTCACACAAATGCAAAATGCCTGCCCAGGACAATAGGGAACCAGAGGCCCTGAGTCTGGGAAGCATAATAGAAGAATGAAATGGAGCAGGAGACAGGATCTCTCTGGGTGTGGAAAGAGAGTCACAACAGACCAGGGGCCACTGCAGCCTCACAGGGTCAGCACAGGGAACTGTCCTGCTGGCTCTGGTTTCTCCCCTTCCCTGGCTTGGGCTCCAGCTGGACAGGCCAGGCTGTATGTAATGGAGAGGCCTGCCTAGGAAGCTGAGCGAGTCCAGCCTGTCTTAGGGGATGGGGCCTTTCCGGGAACAGTGCTACCCCACTGACAAGAGCTGTTTTCCAGGTAGAGAAATTAAGCTGAGTTAAAAATAGCCTCCCTAGGCCCTTGGCCTAGGCCCTAGCAATCACCGTGTTCCTCCTGGTAGGTCTGGGGGCCTGCCCCTGTCTACTATACTGGCCATGCTTTCTATTCCTTCCAAGTGACTTGGTTGCATGTCCTTGCCTGGTGGTCTGGTCCTCACCAACTGCCCCAGCCACCAATTTTACTGCCTCCTCTAGCTCAGCTTTACCTTGTAAACTGCTAGGTCTTTAACAGCTTCAGGGAGGGGGGGTGGTGGGGGCATGCCTGAGTAAGAGTTTGAGGGAACTTTTTTTTTTTTTTGCACAAATGATTTTTCCCTCAGCTTGGCTCTTGCATAGGTAGAGAAGGTGAGTGACTTTTGAGGAGTGAAGGCTAGTGACAGAGAATGGTTGAAGTTTATTTATGGGTGAGAATCTAGGAATTGCCCAGAAGAAATCCCCACCATTCATCAACCCCAGTCCATAGATGAGATTAACTGTGGTCCAGAGGAGGAGCAACCTGCTCAAGTCATAATGGGCATGATCTCTTAGATTCTGACCAACACTCGTCCTTCTCCTATATCCATGAGTTTAGCTCAGGGTCCATCTGGGTCCGTTTGGGGAAAGCTATCAGAAGGACTGCACTGACAGAAAGGCCGGACCCTGGGAGGTACCTAGGCTGTCTCCCTAGCACCCTTAAAATTCCATAATCTCTGTACAGAGAGCAGGTACCAAGGAGAAGCTGTCCAGCCACCAGAGATACTGTGCCGGATGGAGGATTCCTAGGAGTGTTCTGGGGACATTCTGGGGACATCTGGGCAGGATGGCCTGGAGCAGGTAATACCTTGCAGCAGGAGGCCTTCCCCAGCTCTGCTACACAGCATGGCTATGCTTTCCTGCCCCTCCCCTGCTTCTGTCATCCTGCCTTCCTACTAAGGGCGAGAGATGCTCTCAGTTCCAACTACCTGTGGCATTCAGAATCCACCCCCCACCCCGTACTTCGGAGCCCCACAAATGGAGGTCCTGCAGATTGTGGCTGTGTGGGTCTGGCTGCCAACTAGGCCTTTCATTCCTGGAAAACCAGTTATTTCCCATAGCCACCCAGCTCCACTGGGCTTCAGGAAGTTTGTTTGCTCCCTGATGGAAGGGGCATAGTGTCTGCCTTGCAGGTACGTACTGTACAGGGGATTTAGAGTTAGTGGCTAGGAACAGGACTGGCTAGGGGTCAATGTTGGGAGCCTATTGACCTCAGATTGGCCTAAGAGCTGGCCTTGGCTAGGGGTTTGGGGACATGGGAAGTCTTCAGACATTCCCATTGTCACTTTGCCTGGGAGGCTGTAGCTTAAGCCACCCTCTTGGGGCTTGTGGACCATTGGCCTCAGGGCCTCCTTCTGATGGGTGAGTGCCTTGGGCCTACTGCCCTCAGTCCCGGCTCACTTTGAGCCAGCAAGGCTTGCCACTGGCCGCCCACATCTGGGTCTCTGCAAAGGCCTGAGGCCTGTGGGACCGGCTCCCCTGGTCCATGCTTCCTCAGAGGATACCCTTGCCTGTTGTCTCCTGGCTTCCATGTCAGCTCATTTGGAAAGATTTCTATCTCCCATGTAAATTATGCCTTTAAAAGGATAATTCATGTGCCTTGCTTGTTATTAAGCCAAGAGCAATCAGAACAGGGCCATCAAGGCCTATGGAACGGCTGGACTTTCAGTGGAATGCAGGCAGTGTCTGTCAAAGCTGGTCAGATGGCTGTGAGGGTTTGATGGACATTTTGAAATAAGAAAATGAGCCCAGAGATTCAACATTTACGACAGCAACTTTTGAATTCCAAGTTTCCTCCAAACGTTAAGTCCTTGTTCCCATTTGGCCTTTTAGGAGTATAGGGGAGCATACACTTAATGTGTTCTAAGCCCCGTGATAAGTGACCCGCATGCTTCAGCTCCACAAACAGTCTCAACACACCCATGGGATGGGTGCTGCAATCAGTTCCTGTTTGACATGCCAGGAAACTGAGGCTGACAGACAGTGACTTGCTCAGTGATAGCTAGGGAGTGGCAGATCCTGTGTCACTCCTCAGCCCAGCTCTGGACCCTGTGTGCCTCCAGTGTCGTCTTTGGGGACCTCCCCGCAGCAGTTCCTCAATGAGGACAGCTCTTGTTCATACTAGGCAGAGAGCACCATGCAGGCTTGGAGTACGGGAATACAAGAAAGGAGATAGGCCTCTCACCTGTGTCCCCAAACAGAAGGCAGGCCAAGCCCAAGAGAGTAGCAGTTGAGGCCCGGAC